GGGGTTTCACCATGTTGACCAGGATGGTCTCAATCTCTTGACCTCGTGATCCACCTGCCTCGGCCTCCCAAAGTGCTGGGATTACAGGCTTGAGCCACCGTGCCCGGCCTCCTTTTCTTCCTTTTCACACAAATGTGTGTTATATACACTTTTCTGCATTTTCGTTTTTTCATTTGATGATGTATTTGAGATATCATTCTACATTAGTACATAAAGACCTTCTTCAGTTTTTGGCCGGGCGTGCTGGCTCACACCTGTAATCTGAGCACTTTGGGAGGCGAAGGTGGGTGGATCACCTGAGGTCAGAAGTTGGAGACCAGCCTGGCCAACATGGTGAAACTCCGTCTCTACTAAAAATACAAAATTTAACTGGGCATGGTGGCAGTCTCCTGTAATCGCAGCTACTCGGGAGACTGAGGCAGGAGAATCGCTTGAAACCAGCAGGTGGAGGTTGCAGTGAGCTGAGATCACACCATTGCACTCCAACCCCGGTGACAGTGTGAGATTTCCTCTCAAAGGAAAAAAAAAAGGCTGGGCACAGTGGCTCACGCCTATAATTCCTGCACTTTGGGAGCCGAGGCGGGTGGATCATCTGAGGTCAGGAGTTTTTGACCAGCTTAGCTAACATGGTGAAACTCTGTCTCTAAAAACAAAAAACAAACAAACAAACAAATTAGCCAGTGTCGTGGCACATACCTACAGTCCCAGCTACTCGGGAGGCTGAGGCAGGAGAATCACTTGAACCAAGGAGGCGGAGGTTGCAGTAAGCTGAGATTGTGTCACTGCATTGCACTTTAGCCTGGGCAATAGAGTGAGACTCTGTCTCAAAAAGAAAAAAAAAAAAGAAAGACTGTCTTCGATTTTTGAATGGTTGTATCCAATTTCACCAAATGGCTATACCATAAATCACTTCACCAATCCCCTATTGATCTAATCCCCTCATTTTAAATATATAAATATTGAATGGAAGAGTAAATGCAAAAATGATTGCTGATTTTAAGTTAGTCTAGAATTGTGTGAAAATAAAACTGTGGACTTTGGGAAGTTTTAGATCTCTAAAGAAAATGTCTAAGTAATTCTCTTTCTAAACTAGAGACAAGAGGCTTATGATCGCTGATGATCTCAAAGTTCTTCTCAGCTCTGGAATTCCCTGCTTTTTGGTGTCACTACTGGTTAACTGAAGTTAGTGGGGTTTTGAGACACTGATTTAGACCAAAGAAGCTGGTTTGGTATTTGAGCATTTGGAAGTCATGCTTTCTGGCTTGGCAACATAAGAAAACATTAAAAAGTTCATCTACTTTGACCTAATAATATAATTCCCCAGAAGTAACAAAAAGATATATTTTGGTTGAGTGAGGATATTCATTGTAGTTTTATTTTAATCACAAATGATTGAAAACACTCCGAAACCCCATTAATTAAGTGGAAAACTACATAATCATTTAAAATGATGATGTAGAAAGATTTTCATTGACTTGTAAAAATGGTCACAGTATACTGTAAATGAAGGGGAAAGCAGTTTAAAAATGGTGCCTGTAGGCGTGGCTCACACTATAATCCCAGTACCTTGGGAGGCCAAGGTGGGAGGCTTGCTTGAGCCCAGGAGTTCAAGACCAGCAACATCACTGCTTAAAAAAAAAAAAAAAAAAACCTGGGCATGGTGGCACATGCCTGTTATCTTAGGAGGCCGAGGTGGGAGGATCACTTGTGCCCAGGAGGTCAAGGCTACAGTGAGCCCAGATTGTACCACTACACTCTAGCCTAGGCAACAAAGCAAGACCCTATGAAAGAAAGAAAAGAAGAAAAGGAGAAGGAAAAGGAAGGAAGGAGGAAGGGAGGAAAAGGGGAAGGAGAGGGAAGGGAAGGGAAGAGGAAGGGCAAGGAAGGAAGGAAGGAAAGGAAAAGAGAATATGTAGCATAAACCAGATTTTATAAAGCATAATTTATGTGTAAAGACTGCAAGGCCTTGAGGCAAAATGTTACAATGTTTATCTCTGGGTGATAGCCACTCAGGTTTTCACTGTCTTCTTGCTTGTATTTTCTAAGTTCTCAAACAAATATGTATTACTTTTGTAGTGAGAAAGTTCACTTAGAAAGTAAGTTAAGTCTGAGTTTTCTGCAACCAGGGTATCCAGAACTTAAAAAGATAAGCAGGTAGGGCAGGTAAGAAGTCAGTCATGACGTTGTAAGCATTGAAATAAAAATAAAACAAGTCATGGCCTTTTTCAGGGTCACTAATTGTCTAGTGAGTCAATGCATTATCACAATGTCTGTGGGTGGTCAGGCTAAGGAGTGCTTTCCGAACAGTGGAAAATTTTTCCAGGGAGATACCCAGGAGAGATAGTGAGGCATCTCAGGAATTTGAAAGTTAAACTAATTTATTAAGTTCAAGCTTGTAGGGGCAAGGTCAGCCAGCCGGAAAAGCACCTCACCTAAGCACTACCTTAGACCCGGGTGAGTGAAGAGTCATGAGACTCTGTGGAGCCCAGCCAAGGTCTGGAGCAGAGGCGTGGGGTGGTTTTAACCCATCTGGGAAGGAAGAGGTGGTGGGAGGCAGAAGGATGGAGAAAAGGTGATGACTGCAGCAGGTTTAGAATCCAAGATGGTTAGTGTTTAGCAAGCCCCAGTCAAGGGCAGAGGGCAACTCTCCCTAGGAGGCCACCATGACTTCATCACTCAGAACCTTGCCTGTGGCTTGTCTAGCATTTAGGACAGTTCCAGCAACACAGGCATCACTTAGAGATTGTTAGAAATGCAAAATCTGGCCAGGTTCGGTGGCTCACGCCTGTAATCCCAGCACTTTGGGAGCCTGAGGCAGGCAGATCATGAGGTTAGGAGTTTGAGACCAGTCTGACCAACATGGTGAAACCCCGTCTCTATTAAAAATACAAAAATTAGCCAGGCATGGTAACACGCGCCTGTAATCCCAGCTACTTGGGAGGCTGAGGCAGGAGAACTGCTTGAACCTGGAAGGCAGAGGTTGCAGTGAGCTGAGATCATGCCACTGCACTCCAGCCTAAGAACAGGGTGACACTCTTGCAAAAAAAAAAAAAAAAAAGAGAGAGAGAGAATAAACTCACCTAAAACCCTAGACACATAGATAATTGACCACACATTTGGATTACAGCTTTTCTCTCTTTATATTTTAAATGTATACTTTATATATTTTTAAATTATATATTTATATAATAATTTCATACAAAATGTCACACTGTGTATAGTTTTCTAGCCTGTTTTTCACTTATCATCATTTTATATCATCAAAGAGTCTTCTACAGCCTTTTCTTCAAAATGAAGGTAGTTTTATTGTATTTTGGTTGTAAAAGTGATAATAGGAAAAAAACCAACGTTTGCTTATATGTGCATAGTCTCTAAAAGGATACACTAGTTGCTGGTCACACTGTTTACCTCTGGAGGGAGCCAGATGGAAGGCAGACAGGGATGAGAGAAGGAATTTTTTGTTTTTGTTTTTTTGTGTTTTGAGATGGAGTTTTGCCCCTGTTACCCAGGCTGCAGTGCAATGGCATGATCTCAGCTCACCGCAACCTCCACGTACCGGGTTCAAGCAATTCCTCTGCCTCAGCCTCCCAAGTAGTTGGGATTACAGGTATGCACCACCACGCCTGGCAAATTTTTGTATT